CTGCTTTGAAAATTTTGATCTCCTATTAAGATTTTTGGTTAAAAGAGAGTTTTAAATAAATAATTGTTAGGGTCAAAAAAAATAAAATAATAATTGTTGTGAAACGTTCCGCTACCATATTTCAATCATATATAGTTTTACTCTAATTGAAGAAATGTAAAGTCTCATAAAACTTCTACGATATTGTGATACAGAAAAAATTAAATAATCCACTACAAAATGAATTTTCCGAAACATATACATCAACTCTACCCGCCATTCTCTTCCAAGTAATTCTTTGATGTAGTCATGGACTTGGCGTACATATGTACATAAATCACCGAATCGTTAAAATTACACTGGGAACAATGAATCCTTCCTTTGTAAATACGTATATTCTCATAATTTGAAGAATTATGAGTCTTTTCCCGCCATGCTTCCACACAGAATTAAGCAAAAAACACTAACAGAAAACGACATGAATCAACCTTATTACATACCACATTATCCCAACACTAAATCCATAATTTCTCCATCAACCATGAATTGTTTCACATAATTTAGACATAAATCCTCGAGCACTATAATTAATCTCAAAGGCCAAAGCACTACTTCCAAGAGTGCCCATTGGCTAAGGTTTCTTGTAGCAAAGTATCACGCTTATCCCCCCCACATGTGACATATTACATGATTAATCAACCACTCATAAACTCGTAAGTCAAAACCTTATTATCCACGACACACACACAAAATAAAAGAAAAACAGGGGGACAAATATACTTATTTGTAGATTTCGTCCACCAAAACACTCCTTATTTATATAATGTAGTAGTATGTCGTTTAATCATGGCTTATAACTAACAAATATACCGGCCACCATAATTACCCAACTAACTCCACTTTGAGATATAGTAACAGTTGCTTCATTTTAATTATAATGTTCGGAGATGCATGCTATCCGTACATAGAAATATATAAGAATGAAAAAGTTTTGGATTTGTGTTGCTGGATTTCAAATGATTTGGTAACCAATCCAACATATAAATTTGTTTAAGCAACAATAACAGAAATCTACAATGATCCCCAACATCAGAAAATGAATTTCTTTTAGTAACATAAGATGCTACATTAGGTTACTACCGTAGTTTTGCTATAATTCATAAAACATACGGGTTTCGAATCAACGGTATTACATTTACATGAAATGTATATTTTATACAACGTCATCTTTTCCAAAATTATTGTTCAGTTTGGATTTTTAATTTTAGTACAAATTGAACTAAATGTGAAAATTTAAACTAGACCATAATTTTGGGACAGATAAAGTAATTACTACCATTACTTCTAATAACGAAAAGTTTCTCGTTCATATAAAGGTCATTATTAATTAATTCACCCCCTCCCTTTTGTTTAAGACAAAAGCAGTATCTAGATAATTCAGAAAACTAACGAAACTTCTGTACAGCATATGGTAGTAAGTATAGTGACTGAGGTCAGATAAAATAGCGTAAATAATCCACCAATATGATCAAATCCGATGGGCTTTTGTAAATTCGTCGATATCTTTCTTTTGGAGATTTTTTTCCTTTTTTTTTTTTAAACAACTTTGACGAGACTTTATTAGGAGGAATTGATAATTTTAAATAAATTAATGTTTGCGTCACTTCCAATCGTGCAACAACACGGTTTTGAAGTGTCTATACACAACTGTGTGTAAAAATGACATTATATTTATTAGTGACTTTTTTGTTTATTTTGAAGATCTTTGGTCACGTAGTTGATCGGCTGGATGGATCAATCCTTAAACATTGGTTGCATGTGATCGGCATATAACTGGATCCACCATCGATGGAGTGTCTACGCACAACGTCCAAAAATTCCAAACTTAAAATATCAAAGATTCTGGAATCGATTATCGTTTCCAGAATTTGCTTTCCAGATGTATACATCTCAATTCTCACGCGGGTTTAGTGTACTTCCAAAATTTTCATTTATCATACTATGAAGTATGAACATGATTAAAATAAACATTTCTTTACTAAAAGGAACCTACAAACATACCTCATTCTATCAACATTAATCGAAATTGTAGATTCAGACCCCGAATATGTAATATACTTTAAAAAAATATATATATAAAATCACTTATTTATTTAGTCTCAAAATAATTGTTTTGTCAGATTTTTACTACAACTTAGTATGTTAGGTGATGTTTACATTAGTTAGATCAAACAATAACCCAAATTTTCATTTTTATTATTTTGTCTTTCATCTTCAAAAGGTTCACTTTAATCCCTTAAACACTTGGGGTAAAAAGAAAAATGGTTTGACAAGGAATACCAAAAGGGGTAATTAATTAGAAGGGAGAAAACACTGATAGAGTGAAGTGAAACAACTTGAATATAAGGGGTTAATTGAAGACAAAAAAAGGGAACGAAGATAAGAAGAACCCTACTGTGCATTTCAATTTCGTTCCATCTGTATTTTTTCTTCCCCTCCTTTTCATCTTGCTACGTATTTTTTCAATTTTAATTCCTATTTACATTTGTATTTCCTCTATACCCATGTCTAAACCTACCCAGATTCTCTAATTTACATTCCCATCTTTTCCTCTTTCGCTCTTTCATTCTTCTTCTTTCTGTAACTTTTGTGAATTTATTACTCTTATCACCTAGTAAAAAAATCGTGTCGTATATCAAAGATTTATCTTCTAATCTGAGTTTTAAAATTCATTTCCCCTACTGTTCAAAAACCTCAACCGTACATAACATAAGCTACTCAAAGTAAAGAAAACCCCATGGAGGCCCAAAAGGAGTCATGAGCAAGTACTAAGCTTCATTGTGCCAAAATAAGTCCAGAAAGATCATGGAGCCGATTATACCAAAACACATGAGCTTGGCCCAATATGAAATGAATAGCTTGTTTTATACCCTCGAATGATGTATAGTTGTGGTAAAACTATCGTGTAATCACCAAAGAAAAGAATACTAGTGTTATCAAACCCTTACTTATCATGCCTTTCTATATCGTATGATATTCAATTATTCATCCTCAATAACAATATCTAATCCTTCTCACTTGATCATAATCATATCGATTAGTAAAATATTTGATAAAAATATTTGACTAATTTCTAATCACTAGACCAAACGATAATTAAAGATGCACGAATCTTGTCACTTTACTGAAACTCCTTTCGATTTGATAAACCTTGTTAACTCTTAAAGTTACTATTAATATCATGTCCATTTTGTGGTATGTTTTCTTTGCTTTTTCCGTGCAGAGATCAAGTAGAAGAATGATGACAACAACCATAAACTTCTAAATTATTTCATTTGTCTCATACTGAAAATATTTTTTTTCTTTGAAGCATGTGGCAAAGTACGTACATACGTAGTACATCAAATTGCAAGAAAAGTTTTTTTCTTATAGTTTTGTTAGAAGAATAAAGTAGTTTCCTGAATGCGTGATGAGATTTACGTATTGAATTTATATTAATACATAGCGAGAGGAAATATTCTTTGTGCGTTGTGTCTTCCCTTACCAAATGACAGTTTTCTGCGAGAGGAAATGCCAACACAGCGCTAGTGACATTATTCAAAATTCGAAGCTAGCTAGCTAAGTCTGTTAATTTTGTTGGTGAAAAAATGCCAAATTAATCTAGCAACTTGATATGTAAATCCATCACTGCTGCAAACTAGCCAGCAAAGTTGGTATGTGGATCAAAATTATCGTAATTGATCCTTAATTGTCGCAATCTCTTTCTTAGGGGGGAGGGGGGTGTTCCTTTCCTTTAATTATTAACATTAAGAAAAAATCCAAACGGTAGTATTTAGAGACATAAAAAGAAGGTTTAAAAAATATAACAGAGGAGAGAGAAGAGAATCTTGGATATTTAGGATTTTGGGAGCAATTAACTCATTGTATATGATTAAGTATTTATAGACTAAGACAACATGTATAGTTTCCAACTTCTTATGACTTCCACTACAAGATAACTTCCTATTATTATTTTAACCACTACTCACATAATCTGAAATTATGTTACAATATCCCTAAAATTTTGCAACAAAAAACAACTTCAAAAAACTTACTCAAAAACTCAATAAAACAGTAAAAAACAAAACAAATTACTAAGGCAAATTATTACTAACAACTCATTTGTAAATATCTAATATTTTTTAGGTATATGTCTTTTCTTTCATGAACCCTTCATTAGTCATCTTTCCCAGCATCACAACAATTTTACTTCTACAACATATCACCTACATATGAAAAACCCCTCCTTGTTCTTGAGAGAATTCTAAAAATTCCCTTTCAATTGATTTCTTTATCTTCATCTTCTCAAATTTTCGAGTCTAAGGATGAGAATTTGCAAACTCTTGAATATGTTCTTTCTCTAGTACTTTGAGATCATCCCAGACGGTATTGATTGTAAACAATTTTATAATGGCAGAGAAAAGACAACCTGTAACCTTTGATTTTCTTGCCCTTCTCTCCTTGTGTTTTTTTCCTTTATATGTTCCACTGTTGGATTTGAAAGCAACGATGCAAAATATTCTTCTATGGTCTCAAAAAAAAAAAACGGAGGAGAGAGAGAAGAGAATCTTGGATATTTAGGATTTTGGGAGCAAATAACTCCTTATACACGATTAACTATTTATAGACTAAGAGAACATGTATAGTTCCCAACTTCCTATGACTTCCACTACTTGATAACTTCCTACTACTATTTTAACCACTACTCACATAATCTGAATTATGTTACCATATTCCTAAAATTTTGCAACAAAAAACAACGTCAAAAGACTTACTCAAAAACTCAATAAAACAGTAAAAAATAAAACAAATTACTAAGGCAAAATATAACTAACACAAACTTTAAACATAAATTAAAAAGTTGGAATGAATCAAGTGTATTGAATTTTGGGTTTTGTTTTCTTCCCCTAGAAAATAGTCACTTTTTTGTGACAACGATATAAACGGGGCCAAAGGAGCTGCATCATGCATCTTGTTTTCACACTACACTAAATGGAAGACCACAAAAAAACATCAGAAGCAAAAGAAGAAGGTTGCGAGGTATACCCTAATTGTAATGATGATCAGTTACATCAATATTTCCCTCCAATATTGCTTGCTCAAACACCAACAATGAGTGTCACTTATCATGATCACCAATCCACCATCTCGATGTCGGCAGCGACGGCACCCTCCGATCACCGTCCGATGGAAGGCGGCTTGGTGTACACTGACATTTTCGAAATGTTGTCAAATGTTGAACTTTATCCGCCGCCAGAGGATGATGATCAAGCACTCATTAATAATATTACCGGCCCGCAGGATCCCCAACCAACACAAGTTTTAGAGGAGGCTGATTCCAGTGAGCAGCAGAAGATCAAGCCCAACTCCAACTTCCCAGAAATTAACTTTGGAACTAATTATATTGTGAGTAATTTCATTTTCTACCCCTTTTTCCTTTTCTTTCTTTTCTTTTCCCCCCTTTTTTGGCCTAATATACTTAGCTAATTTTCGAATGGACTGCCTCGAAGAGTAATTTGCATCGAGCCGATTAATTACTACCTCTATAGAGGCAAAAATAGATCTAATTAATTTCTTCTTAGAGTTAATGGGGAAAAAGGGTTTTTACTTTTTAGATGAATGAAAAAAGAAAAACCTAGGCATTGGGTGTTGGTTCAGGGGTTTTAATTAGTTAATTGTTATCTTTGCTTTTGTCGCTGAGATGTTTCAAAAAGAAAAAAGAAAAGAAAAAGAAATCATCTTCCTTTTTGTCGTCATTATTATTATTTGAGAAAAGAAACACAAACAAAAAGAAAGAAATCATCGATCAGTTGATACTAATTTTTCGTATTTGGCATCAACCCATTAATTTGCAACTTTGGCGCCATCCCAGCGCCGACGTCAAAATATCCACATGCAGCGTTCTTTCTGTACAATACATGTCCCTTTTCTTCCCCTCGTAAATTGATAATTGCTTTTTCACATAGATATATCCTGACCCAGAAAGCTATATATACTTGTATTTATTACACCAATATTCTTTGCTTTAATTTCTTAAGAGCGAAGCTCTCTCTCTCTCTCTCTCTCTTTTTTTTTATAAAAAAAACACTTTTTCATCATTCATCAAAACTATGGGTAGGGAGGATATTTTGGTGATTTTTCCTACCTTAACTGAGACAAAGATGACACCCATAGACAAATCTTGTAATAAAATTAGTAAAAAATATACAAAAATTAATGTTTATAAGATATATGTTTTTCGTGTAAATTCTAAAACCCAATTGAACTATTTTCTTGGGACAAAGGAAATAATAGAGATTCTTCTTTAAGCGAAAAACAATAAAAAAGTTTTTCCGAACTTTAGTCCTTTAATTTGCTTGTCTAGAGAGATGGTTACAATTAATGGTGAAGAATTGTTATCATGTATAGGATGATGGAAGTACTGTAGGGAGGAGGCATCCCTGCAATAGACTCAGAGGAGCAATCATTCGGGCCAGGAAATCATCTCGTTCAATTGAATTGCATAACATTGCGGAGAAGGTACGTAACGTTCATGATCTGTTTTCCCTTCCCTTTCACTATTTTTCCGTTTACACTAAACAAAACAGAACATTTTTAGCTAGTATAGCGCCCAAGATTTATCGTAAAAAATTTTATTTATTGTATGTTTTCAATTAGAAATAAAAACTTAAATTTTTTTTACTAATGGAGAGAACAAAAATATGTTTTTAAGATTTTATTTTCAATTAAAAAAATTTATAAGAAATCAAAATGCTTTATAATAAAGACCGGAAGAGTAGCCTTGAAGTACATAAAAAGAAAAAAAAAACATTCCACATTGTTTTTTCTTTTCAAGTTATAATGATGGGTGTTTTTGTTCCTCTTTTTTTTAAAATCAAATTCTTCCTGTTGACTTTTAAGGGGATCATAAAAAAGATTAATTTAGACTTGTATCTTTTTGAATGTGAAGAAGGTTACGCATCGATCAATTTATCATTTTATCATTAGGTGTTGACCATTACGTCCCTAACATTTGTAAAATATATACATTTTCAGCTCAAACTGTATATATTCAATAAAACAAAATTAAAGTCCAATCATTATCAAAAAAGAAAAAATCATGTTCACAAAAAAGAAAAAAGAGGACAAACTCGGGCTTGATCTTATATGAAATGTTGTTTTATACAGAGACGCCGGGAACGAATTGGGAGAAAGATAAAAGCTCTGCAAGATTTAATACCCAACTGCAATACGGTATGATTGCTTAATCAATTACTCTTGCTTGGTCTTAATTAAAGAGAGAAGAATGTGGAATAATATTTAAAAACTATATTGTGATTCATTTGATTACAAAACAAAGCGTAAACACTAAATTTATAGATATGTCTACGCTACTTGATAAAATTACTCTTGATGATAAAAACTATTTTTGATAATTAATAAATTAATTTTATCACTAAAGTAGATTCCTATTATTAAAATAGATCCTAACTCCACTACTTGATGAGGGGTTTAACTTAAACATGCTCCTTTTTCACTTCATGATGATCTTAAATATTATACTGGCAGAGGGACAAGGCTTCCATTCTCGACGATGCAATAAGATACATAAAAGCCTTACAACATCAACTTGAGGTAACTAAAACTACTTAATTTTGATTTTTTGTTATATCAAATTAATTAAATTACTATCTCTATCCTAAAAAATATAGTTAGTCCGAGATTTCAGATTTATACTAAAACTAATACAAATTTTAAAACTCGACGTGAACTGTATTTTTTTAGACAAAGAAAGTTCTTTACTAGGCAAAATACACGCATTCATTTTAATACATAGTGGTACTTGAACATCATGATGTAATTATAATTAATGTTCCAGACAATACCTACTGGAATCGCCGCAGCCGCCGCAGGTTGTTCTTTGATGCAAACTCCGACTATGATATCGCCGGCGCCGGCAGGCAGCTACCAAGTGATGCAATTTCCCAGCCAAGTGGCTCAAACAATGTTAATGAATCCGGCGAGGATAGGAATGGGAATGTCAAACTTTAATTACTTGCCATTTCCAGTGATGGGAGTACATAACTATCTATATTATCAGTCAAGTCCGGCAGCAGCTGCGGCGGCGTTAGGGATGGATACGGCGGCGGTCGGACCCATGATGATGACTCAGCTGAATATGCCACTTGATCGTTCCAATCACTAGTATTGTCTTCATCAGATTCCGACAAGAACAATAAGAATACTTTTATGATCCCGCCTGGCGCCAGCCCACCGGCATCTTTTTAGGAAGAGTTCCCAAAGTAGAAATATATATATACTATTTTGGTGGGAACTGCAGCTCTGTATACAGTTATAGACTGCCGCACGTGATAGTTTTGAAATTTTTCTTCCGTGAACTTTGACACTTAGTTATTTGCCTTTTGAACTTTTTTTTTAAAAAAAAAGTACATGTATATTAATAATTATGTTCCTGTACTATTACAACGTTATTTTGCATAAACTAAATAATGTAGGTCATTAGTATCGTTTCTACTAACCTTAATAAGAGTACATGATTGAAAAGAAGTTATTAAAGTACGTAATTGCGCTATAACTGGTTGAACCTTTTGAACTTAAAAACAAGTGAAAATCACTTATCGCACATTGAAATGGTAACGTAACAACATATATATCTCATTTGTTACTTTTCTCATTACCAATTAGTTTTGAAATGGAACTATATGTGGGCTTATATGAGCCTTCAAGATATTTGTTGGCCGCTTTCAGTTTTTAAATTTTTTACTTTATATAAATAAAAGGACAAATGCCCGTTTTGGTCCCTAATGTTTAGAAGGTAGCCCAATCTAGTCACCACAAACATTTTGTCTTCAATTTTAGTCCCCATAAATTTTTTCGTACCACTTTTGATCTTTTTAACGGAATTTGGAGGAAACTAACCGTTTTCCGTTACATGCACAATATTATATTAATTTTTTACTGACGGTGAGTCCCACTAATTTTGACCTCAAAAAAGAAACATGATAAAAACCAATTTTAGTCCCCAAAATTTAGGAAGTCCAACGATTTTAGTCACCACAAATTTTTATTTTATCATTTTTAGTCCTCGTAAATTTAATTCTTCAACTGCATTTACTCATTTTATTTTAATTTTAATTTTAGATTTATATTTTAATTTTTGTATCTTTCAAAAGGTTTTTAGATTTGGTTTGAGAATTCAACATTCTTCTATTTGTAAATCTTAAAATTCATAAACTAAAATCAGTTTACATTGCAGGGATAGAAAATAGTTATAGAAAATCCACGAATAATTAGACAAATGATGATCATAACACTAAGAATTTAGAAGTAGGAAACAAGATATTTCATTAATTTAAAATTCAATTGATAAGCTAATCAAGAAGATTTCATTCATTCATCTACCCTTTATACTCCTAAGTTAACCGCAATTTTTTCTTGATGTGCCTGCCTTGTGGGATATAGATGTGTCGACGACAATGATGATGATAAAAGGTAATGGAGGAGAGTGATGGTTATAGAATTAGATGTAAAATGGGTCATGGCAAAAGAGTATGCCAAAATTTTTTATAAAAAAAAGAGAGAAAAAAATTGAAATTATCACTTGTTTTTCAAAAATATTTTTTTAATAAGAATGATTTATAAGATTTTGGTTTATGAATCATTCTCCTCTACAATGTAAACTGATTTTGGTTTATGAATTTTAAAATTTACAAATGGAGGAATGTTCAATTTTCAAACCAAATCTAAAAACATTTTGAAAGATAAAAAATTAAAATATAATTACGAGGACTAAAAATGATGAAATAAAAATTTGGGTGGCTAAAATCGTTGGACTTCTTAAACTTTGGGGACCAAAATTGGTTTTTATCAGTTTTTTCTGGGTTAAAATTAGTGGGACCCACCGTCAGTAAAAAATTAATATAATATTATACATGTACGGAAACGGTTAGTTTCCTCCAAATTCCGTTAAAAAGATCAAAAGTGGTACGAAAAAACTTTATGGGAACTAAAATTGGAGACAAAATATTTATGGTGACTGGATTAAGCTACCCCCTAAACGTTAGGGACCAAACTGGGCATTTATCCTAAATAAAATTTAATTTGTAAGTTTGGCTACAATTACAGCAATTTTTATCTGGCCCCTTTTAAGAAAGAAATTTATATTTTTGTTAATAACAATACTAGTATAATCTATTATGACATTCAACTAACTAACCTATTAAAATAAAGACGAAGAGAGTAAAAAAAAAAAAAACAAAAGAATTAAAAAGGTGAAAAAGCAAGGTCCCAATATATACATGGGGATTCTCAAGTTGCAACAGTCAGAGACGACGGAGTTGTTTCAAAAAAATAAAAATAAAATAAAATATCAGAGACGGAGTTAGGACGTGAAATTTATAAAAATAATTAAAGTATTATATAACATCATAGAAGTAAATACAAAATGAACCAAACGCAGGGGCGGAGACTAGTTGGAGCGGTCGTCTCTCCTCTCTCAAATTTTGATTAGGGAACCTATCCCTACTTTTTATTCCCAATCCTTCCAAATTTTAAGTTTTTTTTTTTTTTTTTTTGAAAGGGAATGCAATATATCAAAATTACTCAAGAGTACACGTCTATTGGTTGTGAACCTTGTCTAATTTTTTTTTTTTATATTTGCAGGGTGTCTACACTCGGTAACAGTGACTAATCCACATCGTTTATTTGACTCTTATTTGACTCTAAATTTTAAGTTTATTAATATTTCTAAAAAATTATAACTTCACCCCCTACGATACAGAAAAAAACATAATGATAATATAAAATCAGTTCGTCCCCCCTGGTTGCAAGTTCTAACCTCCATCATCGACTAAACGTATTTTTTAAAAAAAAAATTAAATTTCATCTATCTCTAATAAATAGACAAAAAAAAAAAAAAAAGAGGTAACCGCACTTGACCATGTTTTCCTGGCTCAGTTACTGGCAATAACGAAAGGGTTTTGAATGATCTGAGGTGTCGTGTGGACATTTTGTTGCGTTGTGTCTTCAGTCTCACCTCATTTTGAAATTTTTCTCAAACACCAAATGCCACCATTATTCATGCAGCACAGTTGCCCCTCTTCCCTGTTGACGGTGGTCTAGCCAGGTGCCTGCAAATGGAAGGTCAAGGCTGTTCATAGGGCCAAAAAAGTATTTTATTTTATTTTTTATTTTTAAAAAAAGAGGAAATAATTGATTTATTTTTGAATATATAGACACGCACCTTTGGTTGAATCATCCTGGAAAAGAAATTCGTTCTTATATTATCTTTAATTAATTAACTACGTACGTGCAAATTAACGCAGATAGTAAATATAGACATACATACGAAATTCAAACATGATTAGAAAAATTTAACTAACATTTATACATTATTCATACTTGGGTAAAGCATAGAATGAATCAACTTTATTAAAACAAGACTGGACCGAGGAGGCCTCCTGTTGTTGTCAGCCCCAAAACGAACACTGTTAGTCAAGTTTTCATGATGTGGAGAGTCACAATTTCATGATTTCATCATCATAAAACCCAAAGAAGAAGGAAAAACAAAAGGCCAAAGTAGCTGTAGGTGGGCAACTCAATCATGACCCCAAGAGCCATAGCAAAATCTCTCAATTGCTTGCTTGGGAGTGATTGTCGTATTATATCGTGTTGCATCTTGAATGTACATATCGAAGTCAAAATTTGTATTTCATCGATCCCAGATGCAGAGTTTGATATCTTCTTTACTAATGGTATAACTTCATTTCTTGAAATATACATTGGCAATCAACTTGAATCCGGATTAGTAAAACTAGTAATGTGTTAAACTGAACAAGAAATAGAACCAAAAATGAAAAGGGGGAAAAAATGAAACTAAGACAAAAAAAAAAAAAAAAAAACTATTTCACGGACTGGTCATATATTGCCACCGTACGTATTCAGTGGGTTAATATACTCATATAATGAAAATTTAAATTGGACAATATGTGAGAATATATCGTACGACTATTTTTAATAATTTCTTTTTAAGTCTTTTCATGTCTACTCATTTTTTTTAAAAAAATTTAAATTAGTGACCCGTCTACTTCAAGACATATATACAGGGATCTTCGTTTAATTAGTATACAGTTATATAAAAAGCAAATACCATGCTATTTTAGGAGAGGAAATAAGCAGTTACCTGAAACCACCATGCATGGAGGGTTTTAGTACTTTTTGTTTGATATATATATATATATATATATATATATATATATATATATATCTTCACCAAACACTTACTAAGCCAACTGAAAGCTCCAAAAGATATCTTCCATTTCTCTCACAATATTCCATTCAACCATGGAAAACTACAAAAACCCTTCAAGAGAAGAAGGTGATGATCCTTACCATCAGCAATCTAATATTAATCCCTCATTCCTCCTGGATCAAACACCTTCAATGAGTAGTACTGTTCTTGAATCCACCTCGTCCTCCAATATTGCCACGAACTTCTACACTGACATTTTCGATATGTTACCAAATGTAGAACTTTGCGCCACTTTGCCGCCCCTGCCGCCGACGCCACCACCACCACCGGCACCGGACCAATCACGTATCAATATCGGCAGAAGCCACGACCATCACCCAGTACGACGAGTTTTAGAGAGAGGTGAATCCAGCGAGCAACAAAAGAAGCCAACATCAACGAGTTTCAGTGATGTAAGTTCTAAACATTGTCATTTTCTTAACAAAAACAAGTTTAGGGTTTCATTTTGTGTTGCTTTGTCAGTGTCATTATTCTCGACAAAAAAAAAAAAGAGAGGGAGAGAAAGAAATGGGTGTTTTCCATGATTTATCTACAAAAATGGGATTATGAGAAAGAAGAAAAACACTGGTTGATTCACACATATATGCATGGGTAGAGGTCGCAGAAGATCTATTTATAGTTTTTTTTTTTTTAAGAAAACAATAAATGAAACAAGAGTCTAACACATTAAACTAATGCACATTTCGTTGATTGGAAAATGATTTGTACGAACCGTTTGTAACACAGTATAATGTGTGAGATATTTAACGTCTTAATATTTGGTGGCTTTGGAAGTATATACTATTAACCAAAGATATAATGGCTAGCTGCACGAGAGATAATGAAGAAGTTCTGCAAAGTACTAGAACATCCTTGACTCTGCTCCTCACTTATTTAATTATCATTTACTTTTACTTTTACCAAAACCATCTTTTTATCGTATCTATCCTATCCGTTCTTGTATGCTATATGATTATCTCATCAAATTTTAGGAAAATATCATTTTGTATGTATACATTAATGTTTGAATATATTAATCTAAGGCCAACATGATTTGTGGAGTGTAAGCATAGTTATTTATGCATATTTTTTTATTAACTTCTTTTTTATAGGATTAATTTTAAAAAAATATTGTAGATGATAAAACACCAAAGGTGTACTTGAGTAGAGACGAGAAAGTGCGCCAAAATACTACTAATTTATCTTTTACTTTATTTATTAATTCGGTGAAAGTGATCGAGGGGATCGATGGGGACCTCGAGTTTCAATCACTTTTCCTGAAACATGGGGGACGAGAAGGGGAGATAGCACTTGAGGTTTACTAAGCTAGGGCAAAAAAACTTTATACACCAACTACCTTTTATTATAAGATATTTTAATTTATCCCAAAATTTCATTTAATAAATTTTTCTAATTGAAAATAAAATTTTAAAAATATTTTTCCACAACTTTTGTGTTTTCTCAATTATTGTAAAATATTTTTAAATTTTATTTTTAATTATAATAACATACTAAATAAAGTTTATAACAAATCAAAATACTTTATAGTAAAAATTGGAAAAACTATAGTAAAGTACATTTTAACAATAATTAGTAAGTATATAAAATATAATAATTTTCGGAAAAGAAAAAACACCGTGCATATGTGCATGCGATGAGTAATGAAATGAGAACCATTTTTAAATACATATATCAATAATTGATTATTTCTTAGCAAATAGAGGAGATAGTGTTGCTTGAACCAAAAACCTATTTAATTCAATAGCGAACCTGATAGTGATATGGATTTTGTATAACTTTGTTACTATATTAATCGTGTATGTTTTGTATTTTGGTATTTTTAACTAAACCAGAAAATATGTCCTTATTATTAAATTGAGACGGAGAAATATATTAAATTTTATAAATATTGGAAATTTTTAAAAGAAAAAGAAGAGAATGAGTGACCTTCACCGCTAAAAATTGATTGAAGTTGGCAGCATCCCCAGCTCCTCAGCAGCTAGCTATATATGTGGCATCAACCATTTAATTTTGGTGTTTGGCGTCATTCCACAGTCGCGCGCAACTTCTAGTTCTGGCAAAATTTGCGAAAATTCATGAAAGTGGGCAATCAGCCGATTACTCATTTTGTAGCATTTTTGTTTTGGCCGCTTCATCCTCGAATCATCCGAACGCAGAATCATATTCATAATCCTTCTTGCGACTTCCTCGTAAAATACAATTGCTTATTTCATCTACCATGTGACTTCTCCGGTTTAATCATCTCCCAATTTTGGATTTTTTTTGGAAGTTAATTTTGCATATTCTCTTCAATATTTAATATACTGTACAACGTTAAGTTAACTATATATATATATAGTTAAGTTAGTTAAGTTACCGTACATGACTATTTTCTAAAGATGAATAAAATAGTTAAGTTAGTTATTTGTTAATTGAATTACCTATATATATATATATATATATATATATTACTCAATACCCATAATCAAAAAAATGGATTGTCACACACGGTGACACTTCCTAGCCAAAATTCATATAGGAGATCAATGAAATTTAAATTTAATCAACCTAAGAAGGAGTAAATCATCAAGTCTTAAAAGTATCAAATGTGTTATAAATAGAACGAAGAAATTTATTTTTTTTAAATATTTTATATAAGGACCAGAGGAGTACAGTATATGAGATAAAGGATACACAAATTTAATTGCTTGCGGATCATTGATGAGTTGGTAGGATGTCTCCTTCCATAACTGATCAATTTTTGAAATTGAAATATGATCTATATAGGCCAAATCATAGGAGAAGTAGCTTGTTGCGATTGAAATCTTGGAGGTTAAATTTTATGGAGTGGATAGATACAACTTTATTAGATGATGATGAAAAATTCTTAAGTTTAAGTTTTGAAAATCATGATGGTAGAAATTGAACAATAATTATAAGAAGTAGAGAGTATAAATGATGTATCTCGTGTAAGTATTGACCCTTCGAGATTCAAACTAGGGTTTCAAAAGGAAATGTGTGGAAGTAATTTCATGAAATATATCAATGTTTACATATTTAAGACTTGAAGAAACACTTAGAACTTTCAAAACACACATTAATTCGTAAAGGTGCAACCCGAGCTGGTTAATTTGTTTAAGGCATATTTCAATGAGAATTAAACCTGAATCTGTTACTACATTTCTTACCGGTTGGAGTTTGTTTTAGCATGTGAACACTTCCTCTGTTCTGGTTCTGGCTTTATATACTCTTTAATTTGTTGTATTGTTTTAATGAAATAAAGTGAATTATTAAAATGAGACAGAAAAATAATGCATGCTACTAATGAAGGATTCTTTGATCGGGACACACTCTTTTAAGGATTTGATTATAAAGCAAAAACTTTATGATAGAATACAATTTGATTGATAGAACTTTTGTCCAACGATCGATTTGCCTAATTTGTGAAATAATGATTGATATGTAATATTAATAATTTTAATAATTGGGTAGGATGCTGAGAAACGAAGAAGGGATTCGGACTCCAACGCAACAAGTAGAGGTGATGCTGTTCGACCAAGACGGTGTCGTTCCACTGAATTGCATAACATGGCTGAACGGGTAAGAATGAATTGATACCCCATCCATGCACAAAGCTATATAAACACATTTTTTTCCATCGCCAATCTGTTAACGCCAAATTATGTTCTGTCCGTCGATTAATTCTTTTACCCGTTTAACAATTTTAATGTACAAATTATATTGACTTGTCCTGGGAATCTCTCAGAACAAACAGGACAATATATTTAGGACGAAGATTTAGGTAATATAAATATTGATTCGGGAATAAAAGTTGGTACCACTCATTCTTAAATTTTGATGAGAAAAATAATGGACTCTTGTTTAATCAGGCTCAACTATGGGTCGTGCTTTGTTCTTTTGCATGAGTTTTGTTTTACAGACACGAAGAGACCGAATCAGGAGAAACATGAAAGCTCTTCAAGATTTGATTCCCAACTGCAATACGGTGTGAAAATTCATATTCATTTTACTTCCCATTTTGTTAAAACTCATATATTGGTGGCAAAGTTGCTAGATCACTTAGCTACTCCTTCTGTCTTAAAAAATATTACTTAGTTCACATTGAATTTTAAAATTGTACTAAAAATAGTATTTTCTTTGTCTCAGAATTATTGTTCAGTATGAATTTTCACTTTTAGTTCAATTTGTATAAAACAAAAATTCAAACTGAACAATAATTTCAGAACTAAAGAAGAACAAATTTCAAAGTTCAATGTAAGGGTTTTTTTTTTTTTTTGGCACAGAAGGAGTACTTTTCTAGTATTGACATATCCCTTTACTGCCAGAGAGATAAGGCTTCAATGCTTGATGCTGCAATTAAATATATAAAATCCTTGCAAAATCAAGTTAAGGTAAATCCCATTGTTGATCATCAGCACAAGGGGTAGTAGTATTTTTAGCTCATGTTCCAGTCCTAAGATAAGAGTTGTGTTTGTTGATCGTTGTAATCTCAGATAATGTCTGTTGGAGGGATATCCATGATCCAAACTCCAAACATATTACCAGCAGGGTATCAGATGGTTCAGATGCCTCAATTCCCACAGTTTATGCCCATGAATCCTGCGGGTATGGGAATGTTCAACTTTCCTAGTTCATCATCCTCAGTTCCAGTCATGCCATTTGCCTTTCCTGCTGGTCCAAGTCAACCATTTGCCTCAGGAGTGAATATGAATTTTGGACAAATGAATCAACTGCTGAAGATGCCGGCGCCGGCAGCAGCAGCCGGGGATCCCTCGTCGGCATCAGGGGATTCCTCTTTGATGATTCCAACAATTGCCTCTTCCTCTCATGGAGAAAGTAGTGCTAGCTCACAATGTGTGCCTGCAGCATCTTTAAACCTCTCCGTAAAACCTCAACTGATGAGTCAGGTTACATTAATTTTACCCTTCTTCCCTAATTATGGTCAATCCTACCTAATTACGTACGCAAAATTGACTGTAGCTTTTTTAATTTGGTTAAACCTGAAATGTCTCAGGGACTTGGTAGTACTGTCATGGTTCTGCCAAGTCAAATCGTAACGCCTGCGACTTGTACCAAATTGGTGACTAATGTTCCAGAAATCCCTATACAAGATGACGATAGTGATCAGGTGGTTGTTTCTGCTCTTGATTTGCTTTTTAGTTTTGTATAAATTCAATTTTTATTTTTATTTTTTCCTAATCTGTAGGTTACATATTCTCTTAGCTAATTTCAGATTGCTTTGTTTCTCCAGGATCTGAGCGGAATCTAGGTAGCCTTTCCAACTGATCTTGAGAATGACTTTCGTAATTGCTGGCTGATCAAGGGTTTGAAGGAATATATTGTCTCTGAGGATTACACCAAGTTATTGTGTGAGCAAGTGAGGGTTGATTTTTGTCCCTTTTCTTCTTTTTTTTTTCTTTTTTGGTTCATATATCTCAACTCACAAGTTTTGACCATCATGATCAACTCATGTCATGTTTCAATTAATGCTTGCCAATCTGAAATTTATTTCGCTGTTAGATATTACTGGTGTGGGAGATGTCCCTTACATATTCTTGAATTTCATGTTGAAGCCAGTCATTATTTCTCCATCTGTCTTATAATTATTAGTTTATATTTTCATTTTTCATTAAATTTAAAAAATTAAACTGGACAATAATTTCATAATAGAGAAATATTTATAATGATATCAAGATAATTAGTGTCGGAGAAAATCTTTTACTCTATAAGTACGCTGTATCAGTAAAGAAGATAGACCATTTTTTCACCCAATGGGTGAAAAACACGCAATCATACTGATATGGTATAAACTTGTTAATAGTCACAGTGACACACTGATCACTTACAATAAAGGAAACTTTTCAATGTCCGAAGTCTGAAGACCTACCAGTATAATACCAAACTCAACTATCAAGTGAAGTGATCTAAGGGGAAATAGCCCTTCAAGATTGGGACAACCAAACCAAGTTTACTTATGATCGAATCTTTTCTTCTTCTTTTTTTTTGAATATCAGCACACAGTGCTATATATTATGGATCAGTGTAACCATTAACCACTATTACATTGCTGTGGCACATGCATGTCTTGCAAGGACGTGTGCCTGATGGACTCGAGACCTAGGAACATGCGAAATGACCAACTGAGAGTAGCCTTGCAGTCACTGTTGAATGTCGTTGATCAGGAACCGGAGCTAAACCGGTGGGTCGACCTGATGATCGAATCTCAAACTTTATGAGTGGCCTAGGATCCAAAAATTCTGACACAACAAAGAAAAAATACTTAAGAGTTGAACGAATATACATTATAATGCCTATACATCTTGCATCAACGTGTAAAAAGGAAAGCCTTGTAACTTAGTGGACATATACTTCCTTCATTCGTAAATGGCTTAATTGATCAACCCGTTAGCCCATGAGACACGAACCGAAGCGTTTAGCCGCAAATGCGAAACCATGTAAATGCCAAAAAAAATAAATAAATAAATAAATAAGTTGTATATATTCGCATTTGGAGTTTCTGAAGTTTTATATATATATATATATATATATATATATATATATATATATATATATCCATCGATTAGTTGTTCGTATAGTTGGCACAAAATTGGCCACATTGAAATTGCCTAAAATTTACTCCGATAAGAAGGAGGTGACTGGTGATCAATGAGGCATCAAACTGAAATTTGAGATGTGCATATTTGGCATCATCAAAAAATCCTAGAGCTTCTCTGCACCATCCCCAAATATTCACATGCAAAACACTATGTATTGCATGCGACTTCACCACCCCACCTCGTGACTGATAATCCTTTTGTTTTTCCCTTTTTTTCTTATTATGTGCCCTAAATACGTCTGCCATGACGCCATTTCTTGACCATATTATGATTCCAAACAAATATGGATGGATGGGGGAGCGCGCTGCTTCGTGGCATTCAATCTTCTGGCTTTAGAGAAATTAGTTTTGCAATCAGAAGTGATTAATAAGGATTTTCACAATTATAGACGTAATGATAAAAAAAGGAAATAATTAATTACTTTATAACAAGTATAAATGAAATACTAAGTCATACAAGACAATTATTCACAGACAATCAAAAGTGTTTTTTTCTTTTTTGGAAACGGACAATCGAAAGTGTATTGATTTATACCTAATGACGTAAATAATAAATTAAATATAATATCAAATTTAGAAATTTAAACATCATAAAATTAAAAAAAAAAAAAACTCTTGAGAATCGTTATCATTAGAAATGTCAAGTAAAAAAATATATATGAACTACCAATTAATGCAAACATGTAACAACTTTTGAGAACTTTATAAAGAATTATGTGGTGGAAAGGACTGATGAAGAGCAAACGTCAACTTATCAACTGGAGTTGTGAATTCATGAAATGCAGAAGTCAATTTATCAACTGGTTTCCGGAGTTGATCGACTTGTTAAATCGATTCATGCTTTGACTCGTGTAATAGATTATCTTTATCATCATCATAAAGGATATCTTTATCGTCTAACATCATCATCATCGATGAATGAAAGTTTTCTTTGATGTTTTAAGCGATGGCACAATTGCCATAGCCTATGTCATGGCATTGAATTAATGTAAACAAAAATATGTTGAAGTCATGGTTTAAGCCATGCATTGTGTAATTTGTTAAATAGTTAAATTGATATGTGTTACCAGTTGCACAAAAAAAAAAAATGTCGAAATCATTGTTTGAGCCATGACATTGTGTAATTTGTTAAATAGTTAAATTGATATGTGTTACCAGTTGCACAAAAAAAAAAATGTCGAAATCATTGTTTGAGCCATGACATTGTGTAATTTGTTAAATAGTTAAATTGATATGTGTTACCGGTTGTCCATTTATGGCTTGGAAGGTCACGATTCTTTTTTTAAAAAAAATCCAAAGGTTATTATGAATCTACAGCACCATGCATTAAAATCACAAAAGGCACTATAATCGTTCTCCTTAATTAGTACTAAATATGTAACTACTGTTGGAATAAAGACATAAATATGCTTTTTAAGAATATTAGTGAAATCAGTAAAATAGCTGGTAAATACGGAGCAGTCATCTTACGCAAGATGGCAAGAGCTCAAGATTGTTGAATCTTGTTTTTTAAGAGAAAAGAATATTATACAAAAAAAAAAAAGTATGGAGAGTCATAGACTCGTGGTAAATACTCCCTTTATCTAAAAAAAAAATAGTCTACATTGAATTTTTAAATTTGTACTGAAAAAGTAATATACCTATGAGTAACCATTTTATTGATTTTAAAATATAGTTTTAGTGATTGCAACTTAACCACGCAGTTCTCTAATTTTCATCTTTTATTCTGAAATGTTTTTTTTTCCTAGATAGTTTTGCATTGCTATTCTCTTTATCCCATAATAATAATTTAATTTAAAAACCGTATACGAAAGGAACAATTAAATAATAATGCAATGGATATAGTATTACATTTAGTTTTCAATATTAATATTATACAAATACCACAGTTTCAATTTTTCATTTTTAGACTTTTTGAGGTGTATACAATCATAATCGTGACTGATTCGCTTGCTAAATTCAAGCCAAATTTCGAATACATGTTGGATCAGTACAATTAGAATAGGAGTGGGACTTAAATATCTACCGCATGCTCTCTTAATTTCTAATAGCAGTAAACAACTAAATATGTGATTACAATTTTTTGAGATGTGAACTTCTTTGGAAATCTAGACACACTGAACATGTTTTTTTTTTCTTAGACACTAAGAAATCGGGAAAAGGTATAAGATATTCTCCTAAATTTTGTCTACCTGTTGTTGGTAGCTAGCCTAAGACAAAGACTTACAAGTATCTTCCAAATCTTTCATATAAATAGGCAGTGAGAAGAAGGGTTACATATACATGTATAATCTGTTTTGAAGGTGACATTCCATAAAATTTTAGCTCGAAATCTATCCAAGAAGCTCTCATATTCACTGAATTGAAATAACATGGTTCAAAGGGTACGCTGCAAACTTTAATAGTTTATTGTACTACAAGTACACATATTTTTAACCTAATCTTCTTCCCCAAATTGTAATTTGTTTTTCCCTCCCTCACATAAATCCACACTTGCTCTTTTCAAAATGGCACCGTATTTTCATTGATTTTGTTGGTTGATATAAATGGTAAGGTTTAGGGGTTTTTCCTTAGTATACAATTAAGTCTTGCAGGCACTGAGGTGACAATTAAAGGTTTGTTATATGATCAAATTAATTAATTATTTGTAAACTATATCTTTAGGAAAATGATGGAGATCCAAATGGTTTTCAAGACAATTGTGGATTACACATTGATCTTGAAAGTGATGAGGCTCCTGTTTTACAGTCACGCAGAGTCCAACTCAGGAGAAAGATGAAAGCTCTTCAAAACTTGATTCCCAACTGCAATACGGTGATTATTTTGCTTCATTATGTGTACCTTTGTGTTTCTCTGTTGTTCTTTACGTCATTTTTCTCTACTGGTGTATCCTCTGCTGCTGACCCGCCTTTTTTTTTTTTTTGGTGTTGTTTGAGTACAGAGGGACAAGGCTACCATGCTTGATGATGCAATAAGATATATAAAGTCATTACAAGATCAAGTTACGGTAAATTCTGCCCTAAAGAAAGTAGTAGGCTACTGTAAACGCCAATGGTTTGAAATTTGTATGTTCATTGGTATGATATGATCATGCAGACAGCATCAATTGGAGCAGGTTATATGATCCAAAGTCCAAATATGACATCGCCAGCTGGCTATCAGTTTGTTCATCCTATTCCTCAGTTCCCTCAGTTTATGCAAATTAATCCAGAGATTAACAAAGCCTCAGGGATAAATAAGTTTAGACAAATGAATCAACTGGAGGTGCCACTAGGTTGCTTCGGACCAATGTTCTCATCTGATTCCACTCTGATCAGTGTGCCATTATCTTTAGAACTCTCCAAATCCCCCCTGATGAATCAGGTTATTTCTTTTCTCTTTAACTTTCTAGTCAGGGTTGTTCATTCGTCAATGTTAAAGAGTGTAATTGAATGCATAAGCTTGAGTTTGTGAATTCCCTTTCGATCATTGTTTTGAGAAAATTTAAACTTTCAGGAATCTGCTAGTGTAATGGTTCTACCCGGTCAGGTCATAATGCCTGCTTCTTCATCCGGTACCAGTGTGGTCACTGAGGCTCCAGATATCATCGCCGAAGACAATGACAGTGATTCTTGCGTGATGAGGTTGTTGTTGCTTCTCCTCTTGATCGCTTTTTGTTATGTTTTGTTTTGTTTTGCTTTGTTATTCCCTTTCAAAAGTTGGATTTTTTTTAAAAGCTAATTTCAGGTTGATCTGACTCTCCAGGGATTGAGCAGAGTTTCGAACATGGAAGACCTAAATCAGTAAACTTGCTTAGTAAAAGTCAGAAGATGTCTACTTTTAGCGTTCATTCTCCCTGTCATTCTGGAGTGGTTTTAACTAGTAAGAAGTCTGAGTGATGAATCAAACCTTACTTTCAGTTTTTCTATTGTACGCAACTATGTCAGATCTAATTTTACCACGTCTTACTTTCCAACATATTTGAATTCAGAAATATGAATTCATAATAATCACTGTATGTAATACTAAACACACCCCAAAAATAATTATACAACATGTTGAAATAACTCACAGAATGAGCGAGGAAATTCATTCAGATTGCAAGAATACCCCGCGATAACAGACATGAAATGCAGCAAAAGGCATACTCCATAAGATAGTCAGATGCTTCAATCATTGTAAGGTATAAACATTGAGGACATTTGATAGGCAAAATACAGAGCATTCAACCTCTCTGGCATTGAATGCCCTCGACAGAATGCTTTAGACTTAACACTACAAGACACTACATCCTTCCTTGCTAAATATAAGTCGCCTTGCTAGAATTTCATGACTTGGCAATCATAGAGTTACTTCATTGCAGGAAGAAAAAACACCCAATAGGCCAATACTACTAACTCATTCCTGTCTGCGCATTTTTACCTTGAGGGGAATTTCCTTGTAACTCTGAACTTTCTTAACTGCTTGCCGTTGGGGCCTGCTAAGAGAACTCCTTCGAAACTCTTGAGCCTTGGGAATAGGAACTGGATAGCTTTCTTTCTCTTCAATTGTTGATGGGCCACCATTTCCCTCCATGTCGTTTCTGTCTAAACATCCAGAACCATTTTCCTCAGGTATCTCCATAGAATCTACCAAAGTTTTGGTTTCTGCTGGTTTCAACCTAGTTGACCGCCTTCTTCCCCTTGGCCTGTTAATTTCACATAAAAAAAGAAGGGGCAAAAGATTTTATTCTTCATACTGCACCATGAAGAACCCAACTAAAAGAAGTCAGATGTGTGCAAGACAAACCTCTCAGGGTTGACTTCTACTTGAGGTTGAGGGGCAATGTCATTTTCTCTCTGTTCATCTATAAGTGGGATGTTCATGGTAGCTGATCCATTCTTGTTCTCTTGGACTGCACCATTACTAGTTTGGCATTCAGATGTTCTGATATCAACTGGGAAAAAATCATCATCAGCTCTCAGTTCTGTACGTTCAAACTTAGCAGACTGCCTTCTTTTACAGGGCCTGAAAGTACAACATGCATTGTTTGTCAAACACAACTTAGGACACAAGATAAAGATGCAACTTTTCAACTAACATGCATTACGAACCTCTTATTATCATTCATATTCCTTGATTCAACCTGCAGAGAAGAGCCTAAACCTACCGAAAACACATACAGAAATCATTAGCTTAATAAGCTGTAAACTCTCGATAGAGTTTATTTTTTGACTCTAGTAAGAAGGCTAACTCTTTGACTGGGGCCTCCTTTTCGCATCTCCGAGCTTCTCATCCTCCAACCCTACCTTTGACTCCTTTTCAGCTTTGTACTTAGTACTCTGCACCAATATGCAATGACAAGAAACAGGAAACAAGGTAAGAATTGTCAATTAACAACCACTCACACCTAGAGAATAATTCATAGATGTTGCTGATACAAGTTGACATTATTGTCCTGGCAGAAGCATCTACATACATGAAATGTACATATATGCGATGCTGGCCAAAATTGGAATAATATTCAAAACTTAAGAACCTGCATTTCGAAGCTCTTTGCTTTAAGTAACCCATTTTGGCATCCAAGTTCATGCTGTAATGCTTTTAGCTGAAATCAACCAAAAAGGAAAACATTTTAAACCAGAAATAGAAGAGCATAATCTCATATTCTTAAGGTAGTCGTGAAGTACTCACCCTATCTTTACCTGAATTTAGTTCCTGCAGATTCAAGGAATTTCATCAGTCTGTCACAACAATTAATTAACAAAGGAAAATAGGATAAAGCTAAAAACTAATCACAATAACGATGAGTATGAATAGACAAAGAGGCGGACCGCCAACAATTGGCTGTTTGACTGGGCTAACTGATGATTCTGAAGCTGCATTTTCTGCAGAGTTATCCTCATTCTCCTTAGCTCAGCCCCACTTACATCAACTAGTTTACTATGGTAAGCATTAAGGATATCGCATCACAAAACCAGAGATGAGATAGCAATATCGCTAATCAAAACTAATGCTAAAACCAACATGACAAGGGTAAGAGACACTAATAATTGAAAGGATACGTCCTCTCTTCTAAAAGCTTCGAGAGAGCCTTGTTTTCCTGAAAAGAAAGTACATAGCTAATGAGGTAATATGCGCATAAACAATATGCTTGAACTTGCACTTTAACAAACAAAAGAGCATTGCCTTTTGGAGTTGGTTGATGTAATCATTGGTGGGAAGTGGCATAAATTGAGGCTTGTTATCTCGTGTTGAAATCCTTGTTTGCCGGGGTAAGTTGCTTATGTCTCCAAGCTTTTGTCTCGACGTATTTGCAAACGAAGCCTTAGTAGCTTTTTGTAGATCTGCTTTACCTTGCAACATAACGGTATAACAAAATAATTCATTAACAGAGGAGATGATACACAGGTAAAGTTTTACCATAGTAAAACCTTAATGACATGCTTCTGTTTGCATTTCTTGGAAACTACTGAGTCCTTGATATCAGTGCACATAAAATAAAAAATCCAAAAAATTGTTCCACTTCCACCAAAAGCCTGTTTTAAGTGAATTCATACTCAATCAAATTCATGGAGACCTTGACATCATAAAATTGGGAAGTGATGCTGGTATGATCTCAGATTCAGCTCTTGTGGGGAAGGTGAAAATTTTATTCACCAAAGACCAGGAAAGGTCTGATATATCTCGCAACAAAAAAGAAAAGTAGCTGCCTTGGTATATTACTGAGGTGAAAATCAGTTTCATGAAGCTAAAAGTTCTGATTGTGAACCACCTTACTAAAGCAATTGATGTTGTTGTGTAATGACATTGTTCAAAAACAATCCCAACATCAAACATTTTTGACAGACGATATGTGTGACTGTTTAGGTGGAAATTTATTTGAAGAGACATCAGAAAACAGATTCTTTCGTTTTGATTTGGCAAGTGAAAATTGAAACGTCCATCTTATGAGAAGTAATTGGCTGAGTTATAACACGAAGACTTTGAAATCAAAAATTAAGTACACCAAACAAGACAATAATTTTGGGATTAAGGGAGTATCTATTTTGGTCTAGGCAACCATGTTCAAGATGATCTGCGTTTATTGTCTAATCCTAATTATTCTCTTTCAGCCTCTTATATTTCAATATATGCATCAAATCCATCTTCTGTCCAAGAAAAACCATTTAACTTTAAATCCAATTTAAGCCTTCAGGTGCTCAACAAAATACATGAGCACAGAAAACCACTATAGGCACCCATTAAAAATTCCAAATAGGCCTTCTCTCTACGTTTCAGTTCCTCAAAGCAACGCCATATATTTTCGAATCTCCAAACACCACCAAGTGGAGAAATCATCCATTTCTAAAGTTCTAATTTTTTTATCTCAAAGAAGAATCGTCCAATTAGGCACTAACACATTCTTAGAAAACCATACATGCACAAAACAAAAACCCTAGAATCCTAATTAGTACATTAAACTAAAGCGTCAAATTTTGCACTTCCACATACATACCACAATTCTGATTATCTCAGCTAAAAAAAATAAAAAACCAAAAGGAAATTTCTAGGAAACCTAAATTTGCGGTGCTCTACAGCTGCATTTCTCAACAAGGGAAAGAAAGGCAAAGAAAAATTCGCGGTTCCATTTCTTCAATACGAGCCCTAATTGGAAACGTCACCTTCAATTGAAACATAAATTTGGAGCGGGTATGTAAAATAGAACAAGAACTGAAGCAGCTAAAAGACTTAGACGAACAAATAGAGGGGGGGAAATAGTTACCTCCGATGGCGACGCTGTTCTCCGTGTCGAGAACAACGAAGCCGTCCATCTTTGGCCGGAATCACTTCTGTTTAACCTCTGGAATCGATTATTCCTTAAACTTCGGAGGTTTCCGGTGCGTATTCCGTCTTACTGCGCGTTTATTTGTGTATGTGTGAGAGAGAGAGAGAACAGAGTGAAGCTAATGCTCTACAGACTATACTGTACATATGAATCTGTAATTTGAAATGGGAGGGAGAGAGCCAAAATCAATGACGCGACGCAAACGGCTTCATTTATTGGATACCCGACCCGTAAACTACTTCAACTAGGCCTTAGGCCCAAAAATTTGGATCCTTTTGTATTTTTATGGATTGGGCTGAATCCGCAAAAATAATTGATAGAGAATTTGATGGGTCTTTTGAACCTTCGGAAAATGCAGTCGCAAAAGATAAAAAGGGATTTATCAGGCAAAGATAAGGGAAGAAGAAGAACTAAAAAGGTTGGGGAAAGAGAAACTGTATTTGCTTCTTTTTTTCTTTTTTCACTTGGAGATATTTTCCCACTCGGACATTTTTTTACACTTCATGAAAACAAATGACACTTAGAACAAGTGTCAGCTTCACATAAATTTTTTTCTCGTCTAAAACAAAAAAATACATCTTTTGCAAAAGAATGATGCAATGCGTCATGTGTTCATCCGGAAAAAAAAAGTTTCACATTCTGCAAAATATAAAACGATCACATTAAACACTTCCAATTTAAGGGATGTGTTCATCCGAAAAAAAAAATAAAAAATAAGGCTCCACATTCTGCAAAATACAAAATGATCACGTTAAACACTTCCAATTTAAGGGATTTACATTCTGAAATCTTTATCTCCTTGCAACACAAATTATGGGATTATATATACCATAAATTGCTCATCATCAGTTATTATCTCTCAAAATCTCCCATTAAAATTTAAATCCCAAAATTTAATATAATCTCTAAATCCTTAAACCCCAAAAATCTGTAAATCCCTAATTTTATCTATTTCAAGATCTTTTCAATATAATTGCACCCCAGAAAACGATGGGTTTGAGGCAGAAACCAACAATGAGAGGATAAAAACGAGCCCTTCTGATTCATCAACGTCAGATCCGACCGATTCAAAATTTGGTGAATACCAAGTTTCGTCCACGGATTATCTACATCCATCGACTTATTCCAACGCCACCACTGCTCCCGTCGGAGGATGCCTGGAGACCAATCCTCTCTAATTGGGATCGATAGCGGAAGCCGCCGATAGAAAGCTTCAGAAAGCAACATGGTATTTGTTTTTAGATTAGAGTTTAGTTTTCTCCTTTTGTTGATGTGTTGCTTTCTTCTAACGGAGACCTTGATTTTTGTTTAGTATGATCATTAAAACAAAGAGAAGAAAGAAGGCCGTCCAAAACTCAAAAGTCCACTGCCACCGCCGAGTCCACGGAGAATTTCATGCATCATCGTTTATCTATGGATTCCCTGTTCATATTCGGCGATTGAGTTGGACGTCACTTTGATCTATAAGGGTTTTGAGGTAAATGTTTTTTATCCTCATGCGCCACTTGATGGTCATCATCTTTCCTCTAAATATAATTCTTCTAAAAATATCATTCAAATGAAGAATTATGATCAGTCGTCTAAGTTTGTTTGATTATTAATTTTAATAAGTTTTTCCTTTTGAGTTCTACTTTTATTAGTCTTATTATTTTGCTTTGTGATTGTTGAAAACACTCAAACAATTCGGTCCTGGCTTTTCCTACTAATTAGAAGAAGAAGTTTTAGAAGAAGGCTAATAGTTATGCAGAATCCGCCAATATGGTAATTAATTATCATCATATTAGCATTTTCTACTTTTTTGGGGGGTTTAATGAATTTGTAAAACAGTTTGTTTAATTGGCTTATTTTTTGTTTTAATTTTTTGCAGTGAAATTGGGGTCTAAAACCAAGAAAGGGAAACTAAATTTGGGGGGCTAATATAATTCAAAAAGGTGGACAGGAAAATATTTTTAGGAATTTATTCTGTGTTATGGGAGCAGTCAAAAGAAAAGGGTAGTATTAAGGGTAGTGGCCAGGGTGTTTTTTTTTTCGTATTAAGACATTATTCTTCCAGTGTTCTGAGTAGTACATATTATTTACTGCAATTTATTGATTTATTTATTTATTTTATCATGTGTAGTATTATTTATTAATTATATATCAATTTGTTAAATACTGTGCCCTGAACTTTTACCCGGGATAAGCATCTAATATGGATTATACACTCATACACTTCAAGGGTAGAAAACTAATCCACCAAAAGCAAGAGTTTTTGCCGCAAAATTACCCTAATACTCTCTTCATTGCAAAATTATTGTCCAATTTGAATTTTCATTTTTAGTACAAATTGAACTAAAAGTGAAAAACTAATCTCGATAATAATTTTAGAATGAATAGAGTACGATAATTACATAATTTAACTCAATGTATATTAAAAAAGAGATCAAAATTCAGAACCAAGACTAAAAAGTATTTATTATGGAAGAAAAAGTTCACAATACACATTTTTAACAGTTACAAACATAAAATTTCCTCTTTTTTTATTGTTTTTACACATTTTTGCTTTCGTGGGTTTTCGAAAAGGAAATATCAACATTAACTTCTTTTAGCGATTAAAAAAAAAGAAAAAAAGAAAAGTGATATCCACATTAAAGTTTGAACACAACCAGATATGTTATTATCGGACTTTTCTTTCTTGTACCTTTTCATGTAATGATTCCATTTGCTCCAAGTTTCTTCTTGGTTTTCGGATTCTTATCCAAAACGAGGGTTCTTCACTTCTTCTCACAAACATTATAAGCTAAAAGAAAGGTATTCTTTCATTAATTTCTTTCCCTTTGTTTTAATGGTCGTTAGAAACTTGAATCTCTATTGGCTCTAATATACTATCTCCGTCCCAAAAAAATAATTCATATCGAATTATTCACATTTATATTCATACCGTTTTTAAGAGAAAGATCGATGTTAGTGTTATGATTGAATGTTTAGTAAAGATATTAAATTACACGTTTTATCAATGGTGTCATTGTATGATATTTGGATCATGGACGATTTAAAACATCCCACCAAGACAGTATACCACGTAAAATTTCTCTAATTCAACATCACCCCAGCGATTTTGGATCATTTCAGGTCAACTATAGTTAAACCTTTGAATCCATGTTTGAAATCGGTCCAATCAACTAACTGAAGTCAACAAACGTTTATATTAAACTAAAACCATGTAGTATTAATTCCAAAAATCATCCAACAGAGTTTGAATATTTAGTTATATCAAGCAATACATAACAAGTACCGTTGAAGTTTGATTTAGATTCGTGAATACTAATTATGACAATAATGGTATCATCATGTGATGTTAGTGCATGCCTCATTTTTTCCAATTCATGTTAAGTACTAGTATAACTGTGTCTGACGACGACCAACGAACAACCATGGTCCATGATGCATGCATCCATGTTACTAATCTGATACTCACTCACTTTCAAAATGGTTTTCTTGTTTATTAAACAATTATTTTAAGACGAAAAGAATAATAATATTTAGAATTACTTCCGAAATTAATTGTTGCTCCCAAACAATAGTTGTCGTAGTCTTGAGTTGTTATCATTTTCGCTCTTTTGTCAAGAGTTACGTTCTTTTTAGTTGGCGTTTCTAATAATTGGGACAGGAAGTCATGAAAACGGAGTGATATAAGTCCAAGACATTCGGCAAATGACAAATTTGATGGGGTTAAGAATAATTGTGTGCATTATTTTCTTGATGAAGACAAATTAGTTGACCGGTACGAGTTCATTATGTTCATATACATTTGTGCTAGACTGCTAATTACCTTAAGCAGCCATCATAAGATTTTGTTAGCTATATCTTATGTTTATTTTTATATATTCCCTTCGTTATGGAATGATTGTCCTTTTTGGATTTTCACTTTTAATACAATTTGAATTAGAAATAAATATTTAATCTGGATAATAATTTCGGAATGTAGGGTGTATTAATCATCATTAACTAATGGCTGCGAACTAGCCTATCTAATTGGCCAAATCTCTCTATCAGTCTAGTTGGAATGTGAAAAGGATGGGGTTAATTGTTGGGGTTATGGATTGAATATCACGTATATGATGAATAATGAATATACCTTTTTGCGTTGGTGTAAACTTAGGCCGCCAAAAGAAGTATATTCTTTCTATTATCTATCCGCCAAAGACCAAAAATATAGACAAAAGACGAAAATTATAGACAATTTTATACCTAAGACTTATCCTTGCCTGAATTTGGGATAAAAAAAGGAAGAAGTGGAAAATCAAAACAACTATAGTCGAATATCATTTTAGAAAAAGCTAAAAAGAATACCAAATATAAGATCGATAAGTATTTTAATCTTATTTGTTTGTGTTTAATTTTGTTTAATTTGATACTTTTTTTCAAGGACAAAGCAAAATGTAAAGTTCAATGCTTTAGGGTCGATCGATCGTGTTCATGTGTGTGACTATGCGTATATTCTTGGTCTAACGGCGGCCGATTGTTCTCTTGATTGAGGCAATGCATAAAAAAGCCTTGCTTCCTACTAGGACAAAAATATACACGTAGATTTGGCACCATTTTTATTCATTTTAGTCTAAATTCTCATCCCACACTTATATCACTTTAAGAATTTTAAGCATTTAGTGCAACTTTACGACTAATATGATCCATGCATAATTCTTTACCTTTTTATTTGGCTTTGATTCACCATCTGATTTTAGGGTAGATATATAAAAGCTTATGGGTTTCACCTCAAAACTAATTGGCAATGAGGAGAGTAACCAATAGACTTATATATTAATATAAAATCTCTCCCATCACCAATGTGAGATACTCAACACTCTCTCGCAAACCCAACGTATTTTTTTGGGTTGGGCTTGTCTATTTGAAGCCCATGAGGTTCCACCTCAAAACTAATTAGCAATGAGGAGAGCAACTCATAGACTTATATATTAATATCAAACCTCTTCCACCATCGTTGTGG